CAACCTCAGATCTGGACTCTCTTGGGTCTCTAAGTTCACAAAGTTTCAGCTCTTTCAAGAATGAGACTCTCCTAAGGTGTAAAGCTCCATTAGAAACTTAGATTGGTCATTTAGAGTCTCTAGGGCCTTGTATACATGTAAAGTTTGCAACTTTACGTGATAAACATGCCTTAGAAGATTGGATCTGCAATATGGAGTCGCTGCATGGCTTAAAAAGTATGTGTATGGATGAAGGTCTGAAGAGACTCGCCGAGTTGCATAGTCAACTCGACGAGCCACATGAAGATGGTCCTGTACTCGACGAGTTGGATGAATAACTCGGCGAGTCAGATGAAGATTGCCTTGGGCTCGGTGAGTCAGTCGAATGACTCGACGAGTCGGCTAGGGTTTCTCTCAACCTTTGGACACGCATGAACTCGACGAGTTATAGGGGAACTCGATGAGTCAATCAAGGATTTCACGACTTCTCGGTTTCAGGAAGGACTCGACGAGTCGGTGAACTACACTTGACGAGTCGAGTCAACATGGACTGTTGACTTTGACTGTGGACTTTGACTTTGGGCAAGGGTTGACTATTGGACTTCTGGAAGTATCTTGAGAACCTATGAACTTTGTGATGTGTCAGATATAGGTGGTGGAGTTTGTGGTGGTGATCCGAGAGTTGAGCTTCCTAGTTTCAGACGACAGTTGCGATGTGAGTTCTCCTCACTATATCAACAGGGTCTAAGGCACCAATGTCGGCCCTTATTGGATTTGTATCCGAGTTCATTGCATGATATGCTTATTGATGTACATCATGGTAGTTAGGGTGGTGTTATGCTTAGTGACCTGGTTAGGTCGGTATCCTGGTATATAGGATGACGCTATGTTAGCGATAGGTTAGGTGTATATCCAGGTTATAGGATGTTGCTATGATTGATGATCTGTTAGATCGATTTGACTGTTATATATGTTAGCGTATGATATTATGTGCACATGTTGTTTGATTGGGGTTGGGTTGAGGCGGACCTGCTTTGTGCTGAAGGCCAACATACCCAGGGCGTTCCGGATAGACTACAGGCCCAGGAGGGCATGTCAGTCAAACCGAAGGCCCGACGAGCGGTCCGGATAGGCTGTAGGCCCTGCGAGGCGGTTCAGACGTGCCGAAGGCTCGGAGAGCTAGGGGTGAGCATTTGGACCGGTGGACCGGACCGGGCCGGTGAACCGGACCGATTTTTTGGACCCCCGGGCCGGTTCTCGGTTCTAAGATTTCTATCCGGTCCGGTCCGGTTTTTTTCCCGGTTCGGTCCGGTTTTTACCGGGTTTAGAACCGATTGGACATGTTTAAGATTTCTGTGACGTTTTTTAAACACCGATAACTCATTCGTTTTAAGTCGGATTGACCTGCGGTTTTTTCCAACATTTAGTTTACAGTTTGTAGATGAATTTTGACTATAATTTTGTTTATTTTGGTATTATATTCACTGAGTTACAATCCTTCAAAGTAGAGCTATCAAAGCTGAAAAAATTCAGCTTTTCAGCAAGATTTTGTAATCTGTGACGTTTTTTAAACACCGATAACTCATTCGTTTTAAGTCGGATTGACCTACGGTTTTTTCCAACATTTAGTTTACAGTTTGTAGATGAATTTTGACTATAATTTTGTTTATTTTGGTATTATATTCACTGAGTTACAATCCTTCAAAGTAGAGCTATCAAAGCTGAAAAAATTCAGCTTTTCAGCAAGATTTTGTAATCTGTGACGTTTTTTAAACACCGATAACTCATTCGTTTTAAGTGGGATTGACCTGCGGTTTTTTCCAACATTTATTTTACAGTTTGTAGATGAATTTTGACTATAATTTTGTTTATTTTGGTATTATATTCACTGAGTTACAATCCTTCAAAGTAGAGCTATCAAAGCTGAAAAAATTCAGCTTTTCAACAAGATTTTGTAATCTGTGACGTTTTTTAAACACCCATAACTCATTCGTTTTAAGTCGGATTGACCTGCGGCTTTTTCCAACATTTAGTTTACAGTTTGTAGATGAATTTAGACTATAATTTTGTTTATTTTGGTATTATATTCACTGAGTTACAATCCTTCAAAGTAGAGCTATCAAAGCTGAAAAAATTCAGCTTTTCAGCAAGATTTTGTAATCTGTGACGTTTTTTAAACACCGATAACTCATTCGTTTTAAGTCGGATTGACCTGCGGTTTTTTCCAACATTTAGTTGCTTTTATTTGGAAAGTTAATTTTTGCAAATTGCAAGTTATAATATTATACATGAAACGTATTAAGTTTGCAAGTTATAATATTATACATCAATGTAGATTATTTATACTCTATGCAATTAAAGTTGTACCGGTCCAAACGGGTCCAAAAACCGGAAAACCCGGACCTGGACCTGGACCTGGACACGGACACGGACACGGACACGACTCATCCGGTCCGGTCCATGGTCCACAAAATTCTCCATAACCGGTCCGGTCCAAGAGCCGGTCCGGTCCGGTCCAAATGCTCACCCCTACGGAGAGCAGTCCAGATGGGCTGAAGGCCTGTGAGGCGGTCCAGTCAGGCTGAAGGCTCATTATGCATGCTGATGGTTTATATGTTATGATTATGATTGTATGACATTGATATTTTGGGGGTAACTCACTAAGCCTTTGAGCTTACATTTATCGATTATTATTTCAGGTACTTCTGATGATCGCGGGAAGGCAAAGGCGTGATCGAACCGCTCCTCACATTTTATGATTTTATGATTTGATTCTGGGATACTCTGACAATATACTATTTTGAAAACAAGTTTGTAATAATCATGTGTTTTGAAATGTTTTTTTTAAAAAAAAAAAAGTTAAAATTGGCTCGAATTTTATGGATGTTACAAAAATCCTTTCGAATTAGCCCACCATTTTTTTTACTCATTGATTTTTCAACAAACCAATAAATTGTTTTGAAAGTAAATCCCGAACACCCCTAGATGTATTCTAGAGGTAAGAAATAGTGAAATTACTTTGGTTTTGAAAAGCATGCAAATTCGATTTGATCAATGTATCCAGTTGAGTTTCTCTATTGTTCCACTCAAAGAAACATCCTTAGGTATACTCAACAATAACACCATCAAAAGATAATAAATTTAAGCAAGATTAAACCCAAAATCAATTATAACAATTAGAACAAATATAATCATATTAAAAACAGAGGGGAGGGGTAACGAGGCTAAGCATTGACAAAGCTAGAGTGTTGAAAGTGGGGGCATGTGCCCCAATGGCTTAAAACAATTTCCACTTAAATACTCTAATTATTTTAAAATTTACTTGCAAAGTCCCTTATGTTTTTGAAAAAAATCAATAGTACCTCCAAGGCTCCAACAAAAAAAAAATGAGGAATCGCCATTGAGTATGGTTTTTCGTTTTCATAGGTTGCAAATGGTCTACAATTGTCGCTCGTTTGGTGAAAAATGAAATGGTGGTGGTGCCTTGTTGGCAAAAAAGGATGAGAGAAGCCACATGCTAATATGCTATGGTACCTAATAACAATAACAATAACAACTTAATAGTTGATATTGGTCGCATATCTCATTTAACAATAATATAGATCAATGACTCAAAAGCCCATAATACACTCACTTAAGCCCACCACCTCTTATCCAGTATCCACTATTCCACTTTACTTTGGTGGACAAAACTGTACCGAATCCAATATTCCACTTTAATTTCGTGGACAAAACTGTACCAAATCCTTAATGGCCTTTTTTTAATATATATATATATATATATATATATATATATATATATATATATATATATTATTAATAACTAAAGATAAATTGCTATAGTGGATGCGATCTTCTTTAATTGCTAGGTAAATTTTATTTTTGTTACATATATTTTTTGTAAATCTGTAATTAATAATATAATTATGATTGTTAATTTGGTTTATATAATTATAGGGTAAATATGAGAAAAAAATATCATTGATTCTTGTTTCAAAGGAAAGAAAAAAGAGATTCATAAGCCACAATTTTTTTTGCCGTTAGTGACAATATTAGTGAAGATATTTATAATATATGCATAGAATCTAAAAAAGAATAATAATATTCAATAACCAATTAATGTAGAACCTACAAATTTGATATCTTAAACTTAAGAGATGTAAAATTATGAATCTATGTTTATGGTCATTTGAAAACTTTTGAAGATTAACTATTACAAAGATCAATACAACATTAATTTAGACCGATTTTTTTTATCAAATTCTACTATCAATTTAAAAACTCTATTATATTATTCAAATATAAAATATACTTTAATATCTTATGATAATGTAAGTCACTTCATTCTAAAATGCTTACTTACACTTCTAAAACTAGAAACCAATACGATGGGGGCTAGGGTTATTAGGTAGGTTTTAATAATTTTAAGTTTACAAATAATAAAACCAAAAACAATTATTACTTTAACTATATTTGTGGTCATTTTTAGGAAACTTAAAAAATTAAAACTAATTTGTTTAAACTTAGATATCAAAACCGAACCTTGTCAAAGAAAATGATATTTGCAAATTAAAAGAATTTTGAATTGCATTATAAAACAAACATTTTTATAGATTTCTTTTAGATGGTGTTTGGAGTTTTAATTCTAAACTTCAAAATGATTTTTAAAGAAAATGATTTATTGACTTATGAAGTTTTTTTAAAAGTGTTTTGATTAACTTTTATGGTGAAAATAATCAATAAGTTATTTTTTTAAAAATATTTGTCTTAACTTATTTTTTTAAAAATATTTGTCTTAACTTATACATGTTTTAATTTACAATCCAATATGTTCTAAAATTTTTTGAAAAGTTACTTATTAAAATCTATTTTTTAAAGATTAATAAGAAGTTATTTTAAAAGTCATTTTTATATGACCAAACATTTTTTTAATTTTTTGAAAAACCAATAAATCAATAAATTATTTTTAAATAATTCTAAAACACCCCTCTTTGATAAAACATTTGAGTGATATTCAGTTATTCTCGATCACAACTTTAATTAAACATTTATTTGAACTCGCGATCAGTCAATAATCACCTCGAAGACGAAAACCGGCCAAACACCCGAAGGTTAGTTGCGGATTTGCAATTTTGCAACATCAACTTTTTCAAAACACGGCAACTCAACGTGACCTGACCTTATCCTATCAGATCGATTCAATTCCAGTAAGATTCCTTTGTTTCATTAATTTAATCAGTTTGGATCACAAACCCTAGATATCACAATTCCAATTTGATCACCAACACTTATGGATGATTATCATTGACCAAACAAATCATTCATATTTCTATATCTCCAAGACTCCAACCAGTCCACCACACTGCCGATTACCTTGTTACTGAGCCCTAATCTGCTCTCGTCAGTTGGATTACTATTTCTTGTCTTTGTGTTAATCTCAATCGAACAAGTATGAAAGACAAGAAGTCTGCAAAAGCAAGCCTTCAACATAAACAACATCAGAACGGCCACATTTCTCCATTTAAGTTTGCGAAATTGCTTGATCCGGAAGCATCTTGGGACAAGGTCTGTTTCTGTTTCTTCTTTTTATTAATTCAATACATTCTTTCATGTTTCCTATTGGTATCGATTATCATATCACAAAAATTTCGATATATTTTGCATTGTAGAATGGAATTGCATGTATACCCTGATGAAATTGAACAATCCATCACCGGAACATCTCAAAGTTAAAGTAAAATCTCTGATATAAAGTAAAACTCACACAACATCTTCAATTGATCAGTCTAGTCTAGAATCCCTTATGTATTTCACCATCGATTACCTGAGTTTTGTTGGGTGAAATCAATAATGGATCCAATACTTGGTTAATATATCCTTTTGTTACTGTGGTACGTTATGTCTGAATGAATGTCCTAAGTGAACTGATGTGACTGAATACCATATATGTTTACGTTGGTATACATTTAGAGTGAATGGAATAAGTGAAGTGATCTTTTCTCAGTTTCAGATTTGTATTTGCAACTGCTAGTTGAAGTTGAAGATGATTAATTTTGAGTTAATGACCATTTTGTCCTTATACTTCAGGACCAATTAGGAGATGTACTTCACTGGATTCGGCAAATTGTAGCTGTTGTATGTGGGTTGCTATGGGGTGCCATTCCTTTGGTAGGGGGTATCTGGATTCTTGCGTAAGTTATTGCATCATCAAAATATTATAAATCAACACAAACATATGTTTAAAAAAAATCCACTGGTTTTGGATTGATTACAGATTTCTGTTGATTTCTTCTGGTATCATATACGGGTATTATGGAGTCATACTTAAGCTTGATGAAGAAGAATTTGGTGGACATGGACCTCTTCTTCAAGAGGGACTTTTTGCTTCAATTACTCTCTTTCTGGTATTTTTATTCATCCCATTTTATACTATATTTTATTATTAATTTGGTGATATCTTAATAATTTTTATAAACTCTTCATTTCAGCTGGCGTGGACTCTGGTATACAGCTTGGCACACTTCTAACTGTAATCTCTTGTTTTTGTATTCCCATTATTGAACTTGAACTTCAAATTTTTTATTTCCTTGATTGTGCAATATTTTTTAGTAGTTGGATTTGGATTTTGAAGTAATTAATTTGCTCTGAATATGAGCTTCTTGATTTCATTCTTATATCCTTTGTTTGATCCTAGTTATAAGAATAATAAAACAAGATTGGAAGTAAAAAAAATTTACAATTAAATTATTTAGTTATTATAAAAGATTATTACCTTAATTCAACAATATGTATTTAGTTATATTATAATGTCAATGTTGTGCATCGTAATGAAAATTACATATATATTATCATAAATGTTATTCCAAAAATGGGATATTTTAGAAATTTTAATTATTAAATCTACCAATAATCTCCACACGAACAACAACCATTCTTGAAATGATGAAACCTACTCCGATCTCTCACCACAATTTCCCTCTCATACATTTTCGAAATCACCTTCATCACATCATGACAATCCCCACAAATTCTCAAATTCTTCACAACCCTAATAACACTCCCTTTCTCCATACTAATAAGCCCAAAAGCCACAGCCATCTTCTCACTATGATACATCAAAACCTCATCTTTCTCCTCATCTTCAACATCAAAAAACACCTCACTCCTCCTCCCAACATGTCCCACCACCCCCAAACCACCACTAATCTCATCAATCATCTCATAAATCTCCTCCACTCTCTCATGAACCTTCTCCCCAGCCCCAAACTCATATATCACCCCATTAACCTCAATCGAACTACACCCTCTCAGCTTCCCAATCCCCTTTTCTTTCATCAACTCACGTACCCTACACACATCATCCCACCTTCCTACATTCGCGTATATGTTAGACATGATTGTAAGATACCCTCCATCTTCATGTTCAAGCTCATTCAAATGACTCATAGCCGTTTCGGCTAACTCAACATTCTTATGAAGCTTGCAAGCACCAAGAAGCGCACCCCACACCCCAACATGTGGCTCAACTCGCATACTTTGGATCAAACTATACGCTTCGTTTAGTAAACCGGATCTCCCAAGAAGATCAACCATACACCCGTAATGCTCTACTCTAGGCTCCAACCCGTGTTCTTGATCCATACTATCAAACAACTTTTGACCTTCTTTTACCAATCCTGCATGCACACACGCACAGAGAACACCAAGAATTGTGATTTCGTTTGGCTTGACTTGTTCCCTTTTCATACGGTTGAATAACTGTAATGTTGTTTTGCTTTGCCCGTTCATGGAGAAGCCCATGATCATGGCGTTCCATGCAACAACATCTCGGTTTGGCATTTTATCAAACACTTGTCGTGCGCTATCCAAATCTCCACATTTTGAATACATATCCACTAACGATGTAGAAACTACAAGGTTTGAACTGCTGTTGTTTCTATTTATATATGAATGTAACCATCTACCTGTATCTAAAGCTCCAACTTGAGCACATGCGGAGAGAAGAGTTACTAATGTTATTTCATTTGGATGTATGTTTTCGCTTTGCATTTGGTGGAAATGGGTTATGGCTTCGTTGATTCTCTTGTGACGGACTAGCCCACTGATTACTGAGTTCCATGATACCAAATCTTTCGTGGGCATGTTATGGAAAAAGTCAAGCATGATGTTGACTTCACCATGTCTCGCATAGCCACCTAGAAGCGTGTTGTACATTAAGATATCCTTAACAGGAGCTAGATTGAAAAGCAGTTTTGCGTTTTGGATATCACCGGCTTTGATGTACTGAAAGATCATGATGTTCCAAACTACAAGATCCTTACCAGGCATTTGATCGAACAGCTTACGGGTCTCCTTTAGGCCAGTGTCCTTATTTACACACGAAGACAACATAATAGTCCAGACAACCTTATCTTTTATTGGCAATTCATCAAAAACACGACGAGCTGCCTTTGTATCACCGAAACTACCATAGAACTCAATCAAACTTGTACCAATGAAAGTATCTAGCTCAAGCCCGACCTTGAACAGTAATCCATGGATGCATACCCCTCTAAGATGCTCCATCAACTCGGTACAAGACCGTACCACAAACGGGTAAGTAAAACGATCCGGACCATCGGGCTCAATCCGCATGCGATCGAAAAGATCCATCGCTTTTTTGGATTCATGGTTCTGTTGGAATCCTCTGATCAGGGTGTTCCAGACGAATGAGTTTGGTTCAGGCATTTTATCGAACATTTGGGTGGCGTAGTACATGAGACCCAAATTTGCACAGCAACTAACAAAGTTCCCGACGGCGAAACTGCTGTGGTGGAGACCAGTTCGGAGAAGGACGACGTGGATTGACCTGAGATGCTTGGGGCATTTGATTGAGTGAGGAGTCTTTAAGAGAGACAAAGCAAGCTGCTTCAGTCGGGTTTCTACTTCTGTCATCTCTCCGAGAAAATCCATCCATTGATTCTTTAAGTTGGAATCAAATATTACAAATACGACACCTGGCATTCACTGACATTGGCCCTAACTATTTAACAATTGATATTTGAAATACAAAATGACGAACTTTTTGAAAATCAATTGGGACAAATATGTCATTTACTCTTTTTATTAACATATGTATACTAACTTTATGTAAATATTTAATTTTGCTTATGAGCATACAAGCTTGAAAATAGTAACATACCGTGTGCCTCCAACTTAACACTCCGATCATCTTTTATCCTCCTCGACATATCCACATACCGGAATTTCTCACACATCAAATCCTTAATCTTATCAAAATACCAACAACATCTAAACAAAAATTAAACCACCACCCCGATCTTAGAATCCAGCGACTGCAATGGACGTCCATTCATCTGCGAAGAATTCACCTGCAGAGATCGAGATCAAGGTGCATAGCATCCCTCCACCAGTTGGCTATCCGCCTTTATACACACAGCCACCACCTCTAATCCACCACCATATTCCTCCGCCTCCTCTATATTATCATTTTTCCGAGGAATGGTTTCCCTGGTTAGTGCCCTTCATCTTCATCGTCAACGTAGCCCTATTCATTCTCTCCATGTATATCAACAACTGCCCCCTCCATTCCCGGAGTTGTGTCGGTGTACAAATGCTTCAACGTTTCGCCTTCGAAAATGTCCAAGAAAACCCCCTTCTTGGCCCTTCCTCCGCAACGTCACTACAAGAATACTAAGCTATGCCGACGACATCTATCCCGACGACAAGAGTCGTCGCTACAGGTCACCCTATCCCGACGACATGTCGTCGCCATATCTTTTGAAACCTTTGACCAATTTCCTTTGACCGCAATATCTGTGCCGACGACAAGTCGTCGCCACAAGTCTGGCGGGAACGACGAAAATGTTCGCGGTAATCTGAAAATCTATACCGACGACATGTCGTCGGTATAGGTATCAAAAAATCTATTTTCCATTTATTTTTATTCCATGTGCCAGAAAAACAGAACGACGTAGTTTTGGGGAAGGCTATCACGACGGCCAGTCGTCGGCACAGGTTTTTTAATTTTTATATATATTTTTATTTCAGCAAAAAACGCAACGTCGTCGTTTATGTGGACCCTATACCGACGACATGTCGTCGGCATAGGGGTTTACCCTAACAAAGATACGCAGGCGTCCTTCATTTGCACACAACGACTATTCTTTCTTCCTCCTGTGACGAAAATTGCATCCCAACTCTAATCACCGGCGATTAACCTTATCCAAGGTTGTTTCTACACCTATTTCATTTTTTATTGTTGTTTGGTAATGATTTTTACCACAAATTAGGGGTTTTTTGGTGTGTAGGGTACTTAACCGGTGGTGAAGCACCACCTCCCGTTTTCCTGCCTCAACCTTCCCACCGGCGAGTTGTTCGACGGCGACCTCGTTCCAGCCACCAAGGGAGTTGTTCACTGGTCCGTTTTCTACCCCTATTTCGTTCATATTGTTTTTTTTTCTGATTTTATATTGCCGCCTGTGGCCACCACCAGCCACCACCGGAGGATTACCAGCTTCTTTGACTAGCCAGAATTCATTCATCACACAAGAACAAAACACAGGTTAGTTTTTTTTTTCTAATTTTTATTGAAATTGAAATTATATGTCACTAGTACAGAAAACATTTGTTGATGCGGTTAAAATAATTAATTGATGCGGTTATCGAACCGCACCAACAAATATCGCATCAAAAAAAGCCCACATTTAATAGTGCGGTTATAAAACCGCATCAAAAAATAACTAAAACCGCTCCAAAAAATAATATGTGAAAAACACAAACCGCACCAAAAAATCATGAAAACCGCCACAAATAAAGAAATAGCAGCAAAAAAAAAAGTCGTCCCACCGGAAAACACCCATCATCTCTATCATAGGTTTGCTACGGAGAACACAACAATCACCAAGCCGCATCACCTTTTTCGGCCATTAATCATCGTCTAGCATCTCTATACTGACTACCTTCATAACTGAGCTCACAAAACATTAAAACACCACCGGTTGACACCATCACTATCTGCCTACCATAGTCGGAAACCACCATTACAACATGAAAAATGCCCTACAACCCCTGTGACTAACGTTTTTTCACTCCTTAACCATCTTTTTTTTTTTAGAATAATAAACCACCAAAACTTGACACCATGGCCATCTGTTTCACCTTTGGTCAACCATCTCGCCACCTCAGACCAACCTTATACCACCTCAGACCAACCTTATACCACCTGCCATCTCCACCACTTACCACCGAGAACACCGTCAATAGAGCACCTGCCTTTCCCGAGAACCATCCACGCACCACCATCTCGTACATATTTCCGATCCACCACCCTTGTTCTACCTTAAAAAAATCAAACGTGAATCAGAAAAGGAAAAGAAACGAAGGAAGAAGAAAAGACATTGGTTTTTTTGTTTACCTGCTATCCCTAGAACTAACCACCGAGAAAACTAGGCAAAAAAAAGGCCCTACCTTCGCCGAGAACCATCGACACACCACCATCTCTTACATATATTTTCGATGCACCAGGACCACCACCCTTATTCAATCTTAAACAAACCAAACATAAGTTTTAAAAAGAAAAGAAGGAAGTAGAAAAGACGTCTTCATGTTCTTCAAAGGGAAAAAGCATACACAATATAGGGCACACATATCTATTGATGCGGTTCCCAAATTTTATTGGTGCAATTAATTAGAACGAAAATTTAAGAGGGAAATGAAAAATTAGAATGAATTTTTTTAGAGGGAAGAAGAAAATAATGGTGCGGTTCTAACTGTTTTTTTGATGCGGTCTCTATTTTTGTAAATGTGTTTAATAGTGCGGTTTTGAACAAACGCACCAAATAATGCGTTTTTAATGTCTTTTGGTGCGGATATAAGAAAACCGCACCAACAAATAGTTTAAATGGTGTGGTTCCTTGGTTTATTAATGCGAAACTATTTTAATAGTGCGGTTTTAGGCTTCCACCTCACCATAAGAAAAAACTCAATCGCACTATTAAATACGTTATGTACTAGTGTGTATATATAGAATTGTGTTGAAATTGAAATTGATCCTCTTTTGATTATATAATTGTGTTGTTTGTTTGGTATATATATGTGATTGTGTTGTTGTTTGTCTAGGTTTATATTTTAAACAAACTAATAAAAATACATTGCTATAGAATTGTTTTGCTTGATTGGTATATGTGTGATTGTGTTGTTTGTTTGTTATATGTGTGATTGTTGTTTTTTGTTTGGAATATGTATATTGTTTGTTTAGGTTGGTATGAAATTTTGTATGATTGTTTAGGTTGGTATGAAATTGATATTGTTTAGGTTGGTATATGAAATTGAAATTGTTTAGGTTGGTATGAAATTTTATGTGATCTTTGTTTAGGTTGGTATGAAATTTTGTATGATTGTGATCTTTGTTTAGGTTGGGATAGAGTCCGAATTCGTCGTCGCCATAGGGTGTTAATGTTGTAGTGCGTACGTTCCAATATATACATTCAATACAGTAACTTGAATTAATGCTTAATGGAGTATCAATCAAACTAAATAACTTTATCGTCGGAGTTTGATTTTAGGCTACTAAAAATGGGAGCATTGGATGCAAATAAAGTGATCCAAGAAGGACAACAATGGCGTATTGTCACTTCCATGTGGTTGCACGCCGGCGTCCTCCATATTTTCACCAATATGTTAAGTCTCCTTGGGGATGGAATTCGCCTCGAACAGGATTTTGGTTTTGGTGCGTGACTTTTTACCTTTTGACGTCCAAGAGTTTCCATTTCTTCATGTTTTCATAGTACTCCTCGAACTGTTTTCCCATAGCAAGAATTGGGTTACTTTATACACTATCCGGACTCGGTGGTAGCTTGTTGTCATCTTTGTTTCTCCGAAAAAACATTTCCGTTGGTGCATCTGGAGCGCTATTCGGTTTACTTGGAGCAATGCTTTCTGAACTACTTACGAATTGGACTCTTTATGCCAACAAAGTACGTACGTATTCATTTTCATTTAGGTATCGATACACGACTAGTGCTAATAACGTATATTCCATGCAGTTGGCAACATCGACAATGCTCATTCTCATGATCCTTGTTGGCCTAATGGTTGGAATCCTCCCACACGTAGACAACTTTGCACATATAGGAGGATTCATCACAGGATTCTTCCTCGGTTTTATCATTTTGGTTCATCCACATTCCAATCGGATAAACCAAACTATCGCTCCTCCTGGTTACTACACAAAATCGAAATACAAGTCATATCAGCACATATTCCTTGTTCTTTCCGTAATAGCTTTATCTGTGTTGTAAGTGTTCATCAAAATTCAAAGACTTTCCATTTTGAGTCGTTTCATATTTGTCCTAGTGGTAGGAAGGTCATAGTCAATAAGTAATCAATTGGGTGTCATTTTCTCTTTTCTACATTGCGTTATGCACAAGGGTATTGACTTTGATTCGTGCATGTGCAGGTTTACAATGGGATTTGTGTTCCTTTTCCGGAAAGTAAATGGAAACGATTATTGTTCTTGGTGTCATTATCTAAGTTGTGTGCCTACGCCTCTATGGAGCTGTGATCCACTGTGCAATGTAAGATTTTTCTTAGGTTTAGTACGATTATTTGTGATTCGACTAATTGAGACCAATTTCTTTTGATATTTTTTTATGGTTTTTTAGTCAATACAATTAGGCAACCAACTAAATTTGACATGCCTAGACAATGGAAAGTCGAGGTCGTATACACTGCCGGCAGGTTATGGTGTTATCTCGGTTCAAGAACTTTGTTCAAAGCTGTGCATCTAAAATATATACTTAGGACTGTTGGGAAGAAAAAGGTTCGGTCTTCTCTCTTAGTTTATAGGTAGATATAACAATTAATACAACTCGTACTCTTGATATATAATTAATTAATTATATATTACAACCATCAGTTTGTGATATGATCAAGAATAACAGCGACATGGTGGATTCACTACTAGAAAATTTGTTTTAGGGACGAAAAAATCCCGAGGAACATATTTTAATTTGTCGGTAAAAATCCCGACAAATAAGCCAAGAAACTTACACGAAGTATTATATTGCTATTATGAATGAAAAATGAAGTATGTTGCTACTATGAATAAAAACAGTCCCTAAATTAATAATTTGTTGTTATAATTGGATTAAAAATAAAGTGTGTTGTTGTTACGTAAAAAAAATAAATGAATGACCTATATATAGGTAGAAAAGTAAAGTGTGTTGTTATTATGGAATACTTTTTTTGTATGTTGCTATAATGGATAAAAAAATGTTGATATATATCGTTTGTTTGCTAATTATATGTTTGTTTTAAGGTTAAAGGGTGGGAAAGAATTTTGATGCAACAAAAACAAGAAAAAAGTTGAACAACAACTAACTCAACTAATGAGACAATTTGGTAACCCTCCTGAAAATCCGTTTTAGTTTTGTTGTAATTTTTTTTGATAAACATGCTACTCAAGTACAAATACCTAATTGTTTTGGTGAAGTATTTGATGGTAGCTATCACTTTGGTAAAGTATTTGACATTTGGATAGTAGTTATCACTTTGTTGAAGTATTCCATAGCCACGGTTTGGGATGAAATTGTATTAAATTGTTTTTGTATATGTCTACATCATTGTGGTTGAAAGTGCATATCGGATGAATTTGTATTTGGTTTTTTAGTTATTATATAGTTTGTAAAAAACTTTTTGGAATCTTGTATTTTATAGATTTTTAAAAAAAAATTACATTATTACCAACACAATACCAATAGAATAATGCACTAAAATAAACTCTTTCGAAAAAACTAATCCGTCGGAAATGAATTGTCGGAAATAAGCTCTATGGGAATTTTGTCAGAAATATTGTGTCAGGAAGGCTTGTGGGAATTTCCTACGAAATATTTTGTCAGAAGTTTGTTAGAAATTTCTTCGGATTGTTGTCGGTACCTTATTTCCCACAAACCAGTTTCGTCGGAACTTTATCGCTAAACCCTGCTTCCAACTAAGACTTGATTGCATTGCAATTTTTATGGAAGTACAGCCCCTCGATTTATGCACAGTCTATGCTTAAGGTCCTTTATTAATTACATGTTCGTCCATAACCCTAATTACTGTTCATAATCAAGTCTTAGCTGTTACCTTGTGTTTTTTCTTAATAATAATAACTAGACTAAATTACATCCTTAGGTATGCTAAATCGGACAAGTTGAATCCAAGTTTTTTTTCTTGCACCACTAGTTCTTAAGGTGCTCTTGCACCAATCTTCCCACCCTCTAACACAGTTAGAAGTCTGTTGTTAAATGTTTGTAAAAGACGATTTTGACCTTAGAAAAAAATCAAAACAAAAAAAGATTTGGCTTGCTTGATGGGCCTTTACACCTTTTTTTTTTCTTTGTGGGGGGGGGGGGGGGGGGGGGGGGGGGGGGGGTTGATGTCATGATGAGGTTTACACCTTAGTGTCCATCATCGGAATCGTTTGAGACATACCGTATACCCTATAGCCTAATTTTTTTTATCGTTCATTCTCTTTACATATTATCGTTTGAGACACTAGTTTGTAGTTTGTCTTTGCACCGAGGCCATTGCCATTGTTTTCTTCCACCTTAGACTCCATTTCCTTCCACTTCACCACTATTTTCTTTGACACCAATTTTGGTGTACATATCACGAACCACAAACACTTATAATAATAATAATAATAATAATAATAAATAAATAAATAAATAAATAAAAGTGGGTAGAAGAAATAATAGAAGAAACATGATTGGTCGTCCTTCATTGTGGTGGTGACCACATTTCACAATGACGCAACCACCACGATGCACACAGTTAGGCCTGTCGAAAAAACCCGAAACCCGTTCTACCCACCCGACCCGTTCCGAATTCGGGTAGAATGGGTCGGGTAGAACGAGTAGCGGGTATGAACATTCGGGTAATAGGTTAACCCGATAATAATATAGGTCGGGTTTTAGGTATGAATATTTATTTTCGGGTATACCCGAATACCCGAATTCGTTTTTTTAAATAATACCAAATATACAATGCAGTGACGTACGCACACTTCAAATAAAACAAAACTCTTCGTTTCCTTCTTATGAATGACGGCTCGACAGTCGTCGCAAACTTGCAAAGGGAATACGACGCTGAAGCTGAAGTCCTAAACTGTCATCACAATTCTCAGTCTCTCACTATCGCACGACATCACAATTCTCAGTTTCTCAGTTTACCCTTAACCCTCATCGACTCCTCCATTTGTATAGGATTGAGAGAAGTTTGTATGTCTAATTAGAGCTCGGATTGGATATGGAAATGAATATGGCAACGTGAAGATGCAAGATTTTTTTTTGTTATGTTTAGACTTTTTTGTTTTGAGTTGGGTTATGACTTATGAATTTTACTCTTTTTGTTATGTTTAGACTTTTATGTTTGGAGTTAGGATATGACTTATGAATTTTACTCTTTTGTTATGTTTAAACTTTTATTATTTAGTTGGGTTGTGTTTAAACTTTTTTTGTTGTGTTTAGACTTTAATTATTTAGACTTTTTTTGTTGTGTTTAGACCTATTATTTCATGCTAATCATATTCATGGCTTTTTTTTTATCAAAATTTGGAATAGAATTAAAAAAGTACATAACATATTATAATGATTTGTATTGTTATTATATATGTACTTGTTAATTGTATGAAGTATTTTCCTACCCAATTCTTTATTAAACCATCCAATATGTAAAAATAAAAAAAAAATTATCAATAAGTGTCATTTAAGAAATTTTCAGGTATACCCGATAATTACCCGACCCGACCTCAAACCCGAATACCCGAAACCCGAAAACCCGAATTACAATATAGGTCGGGTATCGGGTATTATTTTCTTAAGGAAATATTCATTCTACCCGACCCGATCTACCCGAAACCCGAAAATTTTACATGTTTGACACCCCTACACACAGTCATGGTGGGCTGCCACGTTGGCAACGAAGGCCATTCGTAAAAGGTTTCAAATGGCCTGGATTCTTAAGCCTTTGATGGAGGGAATCTATTTATTTTAGAGGGGAAATGGAGGGAAGTGTTTTATAATATTTTTGGCTTTATAAAGATACAGTAAAGGCCCGTAGGCTTTATTAATTCGTTTTTAGCCACTATTGTGAATATTTGCAACATTTTTCTATTGTATTATCTAAAAACTTATTTGTGCTTAAGTCACACCTATCACAAAAGAGACGTACGTATTTCAACGGCGGATGCAATTTATCATTTATTTTATGTATTTTGATGTCAGATAATGAAACATAATTTGTGAACAGCGGATGCAATTTATCATTTATTTTAGGTATTTTGATGTCAGATAATGAAACATAATTTGCGGTTTACACTATTAATAATGATAAAATAAATCTTATGTCAATATAATGAAACATATTCAGCATATGTCAGATATAAATACTTTATACTTTATTTTATAATACATCTCATGAGAATGTGGCCCTCTTTTACTTTTTCTACGCAAAATATATATTTTTTCTTCCAATGGTAAATCTAATTTACTTCTGATTTCACCAATATCTCAAACAAAAAAATGACAACACCTGATACCGCTGTGTTAAAGCTCTTTAGTCTATGACAAACCAGATATACTAGAAGTTTTGTAATACCAATAACATACAAGTTTTAATAGCTTATATAGTTAAGTGTTCATAAACCGATACCGTTGACATACAAAAACGATCAATTTTTTTTTTTTTTGGAAACGGCAAATATATTAAAAAATGAAAAAAGAAAAACAAGCACTCGCAAGCAAGAAGCTAAAACGATGCAGGAATACAAGTACAAGTAGAAAAATAAAGATAATAAGTATTAGACAAAGAAACATAACTACGAAAAAAAGTGAGAGAAAGGTGAAATACACCAATCGGTCCACGCTCCGCATCCACAATTGCTTCTATACTTATACCAGACATAGGATGATGGAATAATGTTGTCCACAGTTTTTGTCGGTGGTGCAACAATTTTCTTAAAAATTTTGTCATTCCTGGCCAACCAAATATTCCACAGAAGACAATAGAACACCAAGTTCAAAATCTCTTTTTTCTAGGGCAGTTTCCCCAAATAACTGCATAATCAATGAATTCTTTAACATTCAAGAATCTTCTCCTTTGTATTCCACACCATTTAAGGATCCAATCTTGTACCTCCCGAGTATAATCACAAGTAATGAGCAGATGATCTGTTGATTCATTCTCCTTGTTGCATAAAGGGCAAGTAATATTTGTAGTGTTAACACCCCTGACCATCAAAGCATCAGCCATAGGGATTCTAGCCAATGAAGCTCTCCAAATAAAGCATCTTACTTTCAAAGGTATCAGTTTTGACCAACAGATAGATAGACCTTTATACATAATTAATTTAGATTCTAGCAACCTCCTCATGACATTGACGGTGTATTCCCCATTAGGGTTCAGAGTGAATTCAAAACCATATTTGGAAGATTTCACAACTGTCAACATTCCAATATCCTTGTACAATTGTAGAAGTTCATTAGTCTCGATATCGCCCATCGGCTCAAACTTCCACATCCATGAGAAGCCATTGCTAGATAGTCGGTCCTCCAGAGCACAACATTTTACTGTTTCTAACGAGTACAAATTAGGGAATTTTTTTTGAAAAGAAATATCGTCACACCAACTGTCTTTCCAGAACAGAATTTTGACACCAGAACCTGGAATAAGCTTAAATATCTCGTTCACATCAATATTTAGGTTCGAGATGGATTTTACAGCCTTGGAGATCTTGCACCAGACGCCACTTGTGGATTTCCTTGAAATATAAGAGGCTGGTTTATTATGCAAATTGTGAATGCTATCAATAACCATCTTCCACAAACTGTCTTTTTTATTCATCATCCTCCACCACCATTTGACTAGGAGAGCTGTATTTTGTGCAAGTAAGGAGCCGATTCCAAGACCTCCGTCAGATATTGGTGCGATGACTTTTGACCATTCCACCCAATGAATTTTCTTTTTGGGTTCACCACAGTTCCCCCAAAGAAATATGCGTCTGATCATTTCAAGCTTATCAATGATCCCTTGGGGAGCTTTGAATAAAGACATGTAGTAGGTCGGAATGGAACCAAGGACATATTTGATGAGAGTGAGACGACCACCAAACGATACAGATTTTGCTTTCCAAACCGATAATTTGGAGCTAAAATTATCAATAATTGACTTCCAGTTCTTTTTCAATGCCATATTAGCTCCAACGGGGACACCCAAATAATTGAAAGGGAAAGAACCCTCCAAGCAGCCAAGAATACGTGCAGTTGCGTGTAATTCAGCATTAGAAACTCCAACTCCGAATATACGAGATTTGTAAAAGTTCACCTTTAGACCAGATGATATGTGAAAGCAATTAAGGATACGGGACAAATTCTTGATGCTAACACAATCCCATTCCCCAACGAAAATCGCGTCATCAGCATAAAATAGATGTGAAATAGAAAGACCCCCTCTCGGTAGTTGGACCCCATAAACCAGAGACTTCTCACAGGCACTCTTGATTGCGATGTTCAGACCTTCCATTGCTAAAATGAAGAGAAACGGTGATAGCGGGTCTCCTTGTCGTACTCCTTTGGATATAGGAAATTCATCGGTGGGCGATCTGTTAACAAGGACC